ATCTGTGCTAATTGATGTTTAAAACTACTACTTTCACTCTTCATATTATATTCAGATATATCATAGATCAGCGTTTCCAGTCACAGAGTCACATTCCTTCCTTCCTTGATGATTGAGGGCTGTTTGACAGATGATCTCTCCTTGGATTTTAAATAAACAATAACCCTTTCTTGAGGGCAGTTCAAGAGACGATTCGTCCTTTCATTTCATAGTAGGCACTAACAGTTGTCATCACAGGTTGTCATCATATTTATTTTAGCTAGTCGAATCTACTTATCATTTTAATGGTTTGTGTTTTGCGTTAAATGTTACTCAGTACTCCAAAATAGTAACGAAAAGTTGTATAGCGAATTGCGACTTTGTACAAGAGCAAACTAGGCTAAAATTTAGCTACCGCACTGCTGCTATATTGGTTGCCTATATTTAATATAGGCAACCAGTATAGCAGTAGTGACTCATAGTTCGAGTGTATTTCTATTGCTCACAATCTGTAAATTGACAGACAGTTTTTCATAATAATAAGTAGCTGTGAATTAAAAAAAACATGGCCAGCAAAACGTTTGTTTCTGACATCGATGACAGCTTCTGATGACTAAAGGAATTAACTTTTCTCAATGAAGCGTTTGTTTAAAATCCGATGAACGTTTACAAATGTGACTTAATCTTCATCCGGCATGCTTAAATGAGTTGGCCGTTACCAAGCGAAACAAGAAATCAGGTACAAGACGAGTCTCGAAAAGCGGCAATAACGCAACGCGGTATTGCAACAGTGTATCGACCATTTTTGTATTTAATATGCATGTTTATGGTAGGAAAAGGACTGCCTTCAAGCCAGGTACCGGTTTCTTCAACGACTGACTGCCAGTTCCAGCGAGAGCTGCTAAAACCAAGCTACGCGTGTGCGTTTCATTATGTGTACACTACCAGACAAAAGTACAGATATCTACATTTGTATGTGTTTGTAAAACTGCAGAGGACGATTTATAGAAATTAAGTTATCTCTTTGCATATATGATAGACGATTAGGTGGACAAGTGTTGTTAGTATAGTATGGCCAAATCAGTCAGTTCTACTGCGCAGTGTTTCAATAATGTCTGACCGTTGAATTCTACGGCTTGAGTTGAACATTTCTAATAAACCCAACATCACTGATTCATAACCGCATGTTTCAATTCCAAAGTAACCATAGAAAAAAGGGTCCCTAAAGTTGGGGCTCTTCCTTATTGTGCAACAATAAAAAAATTTGTTCATTTAAAAATCCGATTTGAAAAAAAAATACAAAATAGGTTACGTTATCGATTTGATGTTAGTTTACGGTGAGTTCTCCTATTGTGTTTTCATACCAGATTCCTGGATGTTTTCATCCCGAGCGGGGTAGGTTTGTTTATATACTACAAAAGCCGTCGAGGTGGACACAGTTCCAAATGTTGCTTTAGAACAAAGTTAAGAGGCTTATTTTTGTATGGAAGGGCGACCAATTACAACAGTATTTGCGAACAAAACATATGATGTCATGCTTTTTTTCTTTACGTTTCCCTGCTGTTTTATATACAACATTATAAACGGATGGAATAGAAGAATAAAATAAATGCTAAACTTAGTCCGTCCCGTATCGAATTTAATACGTAACATCTCAGTTGGCAGTCGCAATTAAAAATGGCCGTCCACTTTCGTTCTAACTCGAATAATGACTTCACCCAGCAATTTTTCCCAAGTTCAACAACGATGAACGGACTTTCGCTTTCACTCTACCATTCGATTTTTAATATGTTTATCACGATGTTCGGCCTCACGAAGATTATGAAATGTTCACCGAAAGAGGATGCCATGGGCGTTCGTGAAATCTTGCAGCAAGAGAGCGTATCGAATAAAAAAAACAGAAATATTTGTAGCCGAGGTAGTATGGGAAAACGTTCAAATATACTATACATATCCGTCCAGTATTTTGCGTACCAAAAACAAAATAATATTGCGACATGCTGTGGTAATGGCTTTTTTCCATAGGTGGTTCGTCTCCCTTATTACCCCAAAAGGTCTGCCCATGGAAAAATATATTTTGATAATCAATACACACTATCACACGAATACTACTAGTGACTAGCGAAGACTACGAATGTAGTCAGAGTCTGAGGGTTTATGTAAGAATACAATCACAAATTTCTATCAAAATATATCCATCAGGTCTCGCCGATGTGACGCAAAGAGGATGCGGTCAATACAAGTGACAAAATAGAATTACAATTATTTTATATCGATAGAGATTCCAGCGATGTTCTTGCACAATTAATGCTGACATTATCCTTTATCAGAAAAACGTTATCACTATCTATGATGGAATATTTAAGATCAAATATTTGTTTCTACGAGAAATATCTGGAGTATTCTGTTATCTATCCCAGAAATAATCAAAACAGTCGAAGCGCCGAGATTTTGTCATATCTCACAAATCACAAAAGTAGAGCAAATTTAAGATTACATCAAAAATTACCAGGCTTATTATTTTATTTGTCTGAATTCTCAGAATACTGTATTGTCAATATATCATTCTGAAACTATTTTGTGTGTATTAAAATACATGTAATCAGAGTGTTTCCACATTTATTGGGAAATATAATGAATGATATATAAATAACTATTTATCAATTTTAGACTTCCACCTTTTCGTTTTTTTTTTGTAATAATTGGCATAATGATTGCTGTATTCGACCTCCTCTAGTTACACATGTTTCGGCGATCCTATGGGATGCTACACAGTCAAATAAGCAAGCGCAAATATCAAGTGTCAAGTTGTATTATGAAATAGTAGAGTAGCAGTATAATTTCATGTTCCGGTACTTAGATGTATTTAATTTTGTGGAGAATATTGAAAAATTAATAGGAAAGAAGTTAGTTGATTTGGGAATTACGTTTGTTAAATCCCTTACTTAAAAAAATATACACCTGGGAGCATAATTATATACACATCATTTAAGGTTATTATCATAATTTTAAATACCTATATTATACACTTGGACTAAAGATGAGATAAAAGTAGTTTTTTTTGGGTAATGAAGGAAGAAGCAGCGGTATAGAAGCTATAATTTAAGTCACCCTAACATGAATTGGTGCACGATAGATATGGCATAAAATACGGTAACGTTCATATATAATAAGTAAACAAAGTGCTTTGCATTATCAGTATCAAAGCATTATAAATCGAATGGCTTTTAGGCAGTCCTTTTACCTCCATGTAAAATATAGCATACCCCTCTTAAATAACACCTAAATCATCTCTCCGTGTAACACCGTTAAAAACCTCATGTTTGCCGCCCCTCTTTCAACTGTACAAAATCATGACGCCCCTTGAGGCGAAGGTTAGACACCGCCACGAAACTGATCAATTCGACACATTACATAAAAACTGCATTTTCGGAAAGATTGTTAGAAATGTACAAGTATTATGGTCCAATGTAGAATATGTAACTTTTCACCATAAGAATAATAGGAGTGATATGACGATAAAACAAAACGCGTTACCAATCACAACTTTGAACAATAAATTGCACTCTTCAGACACGAGTAGTCGTGAAATTGAAACAAAAACTTATGCGGTTCAGTTGCGTAATAGGTGTACAGGTTGTGTCAGAGTTAGTACAAATCTAGATAGCGGATCACAGCCCAACCCCTAGGAGGGCGTGGCTTACCCAGAGGCGGTTCTACCGTAGCTCCGCCCTCACAGCATGAGATCGCTGAGCGAGAGCAACTGCGCGGCATCGATCAATCTGTTGAATACGGGCAATCGGGCGTCTTCGACTGCTCCCGGAGAATGCAACTCGGGCTCGGAGGAGAAGAAGGAGCCCATGCTGCTGGCCGGCGATTGGCTGAGACTGCACGGGGGGCTGGGACTGTCGAGCGACAGGGAGGGGCTCAGAGCGGCTGGTCGAGGGCGACCGACGCCTTGGCCTGCTGTGGTTTGAGGGGCGGTGCGCGACAGAATCGCCGCTGCGGCCGCTACTGCGCTGGGATTGGCTGTCACCGGAGCTTTCTGGGCGACTTCGTCTTGGTTGTGGACGAAGTGACATCTGGAACAACAGAGAGGTGGGTTATGAATCTACATGTATTCCAGTTAATATTAATAAATAATGTTTATTCAATTCTTGTACAAATATTCATATACCTATATTAAGCAGAAATTTTTGAATCGAAAAGTTGGAGTGTTACCACTTTGGTGTTTTTCAAGTCGAGCTGTCACCAAATTACTATGCAATGTAATAGATTAATCCAAAAAATATAAAAAAGTAAATTTACAATAAATAGGTTAGATCGATAAGTAAATTATAATAAGAATGGGCGAATACAAAGGATAGATTTTCATCTAAATAATAATATGTTTACCTATTCAGTTTTACATCACGATGAACGGGTATGGTTAAAGTAGCTAGAGGATGGTCACATATTATGTAGTAGTAGTTATATTTTTTAATTATTCAGTTGGTAGATTATTGTACATCTTGGAAACTACGTAGGAAAGACTTCGCACAGTGAAGTAAAGTAGTAATGTATGACTAGTGATTGGCTACTTCTAGTTATTAAGCTATTAATTGTCTCAAATTTGTGTAACCTATTGATAAGATATTCCGGTTTTTTTGTTCACTAAAATTTTATTAACCGTAACTCATTCTCAGATTTTCTATATTTAATTTTTTCTTTTCCTTATAAACGTGACTAATGTGGTAGAATTTTCTTACACAAAGAGGGAATCAGGAATTTTGTAGTCGTAATTTTATTTTATCCTTTTGCAGTAAATGCCGTTAAGGGTATAATTGTTTACGAATGCTGTATGAATTTCGACAAATTTCTTTTACATGAAACTCAAATTTTGATTGCGTATCAAACCCAAGACCCATGCATTTACTTACATTTACCATTGGTAGAGGAACATTATCGTTAGCTAATTGATATAGATTTTCTAGTACAATTTGTTTTGGTCCGACTATCATAACTTTGGATTTAATGTGCAGCTGATGTTATTTAGTGTGTTCAGGTCACTGTTAATCAAATCAAGTGCATCGCTGTTATTGAAGCTGTAGTATATGGTGGACTTTGCAGTATGTCATATATATGTCGAAAAGTCTGAAATATATAGAGGATAATAGCGGATTTGAAATACACATTATCAGTGTCGTACATTTAGAAAACTTTTAATCAACTGAAGAGCAGCAAGACGAAACCAAAAATATTTCAGTTTAGACTATAGTATGTTATCATCCGATTGTGTCAAAAGCCGAGCTATAATCAAGAAGCACTAAACATGTAATTTTTCCATTATCAACTAAACGAATCAAATCATCAGTGATGCATGTAAGAGCTCTTGTTGTGTCATAAGAGGAACGAAGTCTAGATTGTATTTTTGGTATGATATATTTGCAACATACAAAAATTTATTTCTTCAAATTTTTTTCTATTTTTTTTAAATTGTCGGTGAATTGGTTGTAAAACTGATATTTGGTTTGTGATAGGTACTTTTGGGATTGGTATAATATTTGAAATTTTACGTATTTATTGAAATACATTTGAGAGATGTGTGCCGGAAAATGTCTCAATTCTCAGGTAAGGTCGCGAGGGAAGATTACTCTCTACTTTCTTATGGAAAAATGATAGCTTCATAATTTCAATTTGTAACGTAGGGTTTTGATAAAATGCACATTCAAACTTCTAAGGGCGATATCTTAGGTAGACAAAAAATATAAAAATCTGACAGGTAATTGCTTTATTTTTAAGATGCAGGGTCGTTTGTTTAAGAGATACAGGCTACAAACTTTTTTCTTGAAAAACGTGGTACTTTAGTCGATTTTGTTAATATTTATAGAAACTCAGCAGGTACAGAAGTATCACCGGAAAACAAATGTACTCAGTTAAGGAAGATACTTATTAAAATCACAAATGACACTGGTCTTCTAGATCGCCGGACTTGAATCCGTTAAAAATTGTTTCGGTTGGATTTTCCAATTTCCTGACGCGACTTGAATCCGTTAAAAATTGTTTCGTTCAGATTTTCCAATTTCCTGACGTGCGTTTCTCATTGACTATCCGGCATTTAACCTACTGAACATCATCAACAAAACAGACAAACGAATAATTGAGTTTTTACATAAAATCATATTTTAAAAAAAATTACACCCTATATTTTGAAAGCAAGGCACTACCCAGGGCATTATCCGACCTATGTTCATGAAAACTTTTCATCTTCAGGTAATTTCATCTAAAACCTGGCCAGATAACATCTCATAAAATCTAGTAGATGACAGGCACAATTGCAACTTATAATGTTAGTTATGCACTCATTTGCAATAATTCAATCTTCTTATCCATATTCATTTTAAAGCCTTTATCAGACTTCTTAAACTGCTGTATGAAAGATGACTCAACGGTAATAATAAGGAATTGTTAGTGTAAGTCATTAGACTATTGGTACCATACTATCCTCTTTAGTTAATGATGTCCCTTTGCTTTCAATTAATGATAATATTTTACAAGCCCAAACGTAAAATGCTTCGTTATTCTGGAAAATCACCCATCATTAATATCGTCGTTAGTGTCACAGTGAACTTTAACCTCTTTATCAGCTGACAATGATGTTTGTTCAAGATAAGTAGAGACTGTTTCTGAAAAGGATGAAGTTGTATTGTGTCTATTATAAATCTAAGCTGAAACTAATGTATTTCAGCGAAATTTCTCAAATAGATTTGGCTCATATATATCTTTGTTCAATATTTTGAGTCATATGAATCGATGAAAAACACACACACAATCTTAATGATGAGAATCATCCAGATAATCATCTCGGAAAATACAAAAACTGAAATTTTGAAAGCGATGATATGTTTACATTGAAGTGATTGAGCATGCTATACTGTCAGACGATTTTAGAAAATTACAGTGATGATGACTTTTGGAAAAGCCTCACAATCAGATAGGGAAAGGCATTTGAAGCAATTTGGTCTAGCTTCTGTGGCATTGTCTGTTCCGGAATGTCGCTTAAAAATAATTGAATGAAACCTACCTAGGTCCGTATGGACAGAATCCAACTGTGTGGTACGTCCTGCACAGCTCTGTCTTATATTTGGGATGCCTGGCCAAACTTCTTAACTCGGCATGACCGTGAGCGAACTGGCACTTGTCTCCATACTTGCATACGCCAAACTCTTCGAAGGGTCTACACAGCTCCGTTTTATATCTGGAACAAAAGAAAACATTGCGTCAAGTTAATCCCTCTTAGGAAAACATTGGCTACGGCCATGTATAACAAGGCATTAGACGGATCATGTCAGTCAAACAGGCTCATACAAAGCGACTTAGCCTAACCTCCAACATCCGATTTCTAACCTCTGCAAAAGGTTTTTCTGAAAATGATCAGGAGCAGCTGAAACGTCACAAAACGAAGATTGAGCGGTTTTATCTTTTGCTTCGTTTTTGGCATTTTTCTCGGCCGCGTTTTTGTTTTTGAAATGGTAGTAACCTTGTGTGAAAATTTCATCAAAATCCGGGAAGTACTTCCCAAGTTATAGACGGGTCAACGATCAGTGAACAGGCAGACCGACCGATAGACAGTAACATAACAGTGACATCCAAAAATCCTAATATGTATATCATTTTCGAAATTTTTCGGGATTGCAATACTTCCTCCCCAGTGGCGTAGGTAGTCAAAAGGTCCTTATATTTTCTGTATGCAGTCGTTTATGATTTATATAAAATATAAAAAAATCGCAAACTATTTCTATCAGACAACCAAACTTAACTTCAGACATGCACGGTCTTTCAGAAAACAATGGAAAAATTTTTAATTTTATTATTCTCTCTCTGCATGAGTTTTTAAAACATATGAAAGTCTCAGTTCATCAATTATTTTAAGCTGTTAATCATCTCGTTATCAGTGAGGTGCGTATTATAGTGTTGTACATGTATTTTAATTTCAATTTTTATTCAAGTTTTAATGCAAATATGGATGATTTCATAGTAATTTTGAATTTTCTTATATGTGGGTTTCTTTTTAAGATATTAACCATTTGTCCTCATTGCTCAATGTTTATTGTATTTATACGTATTACTAACATAATCTCTTACTTTTTTTGTATATACTTCAATGATGTTTATCCATTAGGCGAACATTCCTCGTGATGAATGTCGATGTATACGTGTATATATTTTCACGTTACTAATTTAACACTTTCAGATTATTGCGCTGTACCTACCAATGTGATTTAACTTGTTTAAAGGTTATATACTTTTCTGCAATTGCTAATGTCATTTATTTTATATTCGTATTTTACCTGTATATTTGCTCAAACGCATATATGACTTTTAGTTTTGCATTAGGAACTTTTACAACATGATCTAAAATGACAAAATATCTATCTATATAACTATTAAAATTAAGGGTGTTGACTGTATAATTTCGAAATTGAAAAAATATACCTTCGGAGTGGATTAAGATATTACCTTAAACATTTATACAAATAGTACTAACGGTATAGCCAATACAGGCAAATATTTCAGTGCCTGAGACTACACCAGTGGTGTAGACATTGGGGAATCTTCCCTACAGAAGAAAACTATAAAATTTTCCAAGAATCGTCTCTCTTGAGACATTTTTTCAGACTCAATCTCTTTGACAAAAAAAAATTGGTTTGAAAATTTGATGCAAAAGCCGAATAAAAATTTCAACCTGTTTTATTACTTTGAAAATATGCTGAGGATAGTTCAAAAATTTTTTAAGTTCATCAAGATCTTGGAATGGGACTCTAGCACTTCTAAATTGGTCTAAGGTTTTACAGCAGGTTTCATAGCTGGACAGCAACTATAGGCAACTGTAACTATTTACAAAACTGAGTCATGCCCTATCGGATATTACGAACTCATCATCTACGTGCATGACACAAAATATGACAAACCCGACCTATAGAAAATTAGATTCAAATTGATTCCATTACTATAGTGGTGACTACAACCATAAAAATACTTCTATAAAATAGCTACGATGGCATTGCTTGTTAATAAATTGATATACGGAGCTTTCAAAACGGATATTTTATAGCTATCAAGAACATTAAAGGATAATAACATCGCATCGTTAGCACCATATGGGTTTTACTACTGTTATTTTTATCATCAGATCGTAAACAAAAAATGATTTTCGATCACTGCATATGATATTGCTTTTATGGTTTATTAATCGAAATGTTGATAGTGTAAGCCGGATAGTGAAAAAAAAAACGAGTAAAAGCTATTTTGTGGTATTGTTCTTGACATGAATGAACATGCTCAGACGCTGCGTTGAATTGAAATTTGAAGAGCGCGCGGAGGGGGGAGAGGGGGTTAACTAAGGCAGTACTTTTTTGAAGGCATCTGTTGCAAAGTACAGGTAAATCCTAAGTAACATTCACAACAAACAGAGAACCCAAAAAAGTGTGCTTGGTTTTGTAAAAACTAAAAGTACAATGAATGAAAAAATATCCAGACAATTATAAATAAGTAAAAGTATCACTTGTATGAAAGTCAGTGATAAGTAAAACATTATCGATATTGATGTTTATTTATAGGTACACTTTATGGCCTGAGCGTCTAGGGGAGACTCACTGCATTGTGAAACATCCCAAAATACTGACGAAAATAAGCATTTCACGAAAAAAAAAAACGGTGTTAAGTAGGTCGACTCTGCACTTTCCACGCAACGCCGTCATCAGTTCATAAAGGATTATGTTAGCACAAGCCGAGCAGAGCTTTACAAGTTTTGACAGGCCAAGCATTAGAGCAACGACCAACAGACAGACACACGGAAAGGAATTCCAAAAAATATATTTCATTTTAGAATTTTTTCGCGATTACAGTACTTCCTCGCCAGTAAAAAAGATTAGCCGAAAAAATAATGAGTACATATGAGACTGTTGACACCCTGAAGTACCATCAAGTTAAGTGATTAAAATATATACAAAAAAGTACTTTGCGCAAACAACACTACCCGATATATTTAACAAAGAGCTTTGTCAAAGAAAATCATGAACAGAGAAACAGCAGCAAGTTAAAAGAGCCCATAAAAATCAGGTATGACCCTGCACTCATTTTGATGAAAACTGAATGGCAGTATGCTGTGAGATCATAGTAATGAGTAAAAAACAAAAGTAATCGAAGCTTCACTTCTTACAAATTGAAGAAACATTTTTGGGCAAAAAAACCTGTTTAAGTCATTCGAAATTTACGAATTGCTCCGATCTTTATTTTTTATTATTCGTGTTTCTGGTCACTTGACGTGTAATAAATGAGCTAGTTTTTAAAAACATTTCAAGACAGTCGGACGAATAAGGACGACAATAGCACCAATAACATATGAAAAGAGAAAGTAAGAATATTTTAGTATTATAACTACTTAAGATGCAGTATTACAGCATTCAACTACAAACAATAAGAAACGGAAATCTCCACCAAACTGCTATAATAGCATAGCAAATAATTATAACCACTGAACTTTCATTATCGAATGGCCTTTCCAGGAACTGCTTAAGCATTATCTACATAGTATTACCGATACGAGTAAATTAATATAAGTACAATCAAAGAACATAAAGATCCCCATTGTGTAGTCGCTTCCTGATTGTAAATGATTTTTTTAACTAACTGTATATCAGATGCAGCATAAAATTGCCAATGGAAACGAGAGACGATTGTTCGAAAATTACAATGGGATGTAACCAACAAGAAGGTTGGCAGGAAGGAAGTAGACATTCAATGTACTATTTAGTAGGAATTTTACAGCTGATTGTCGTTATTCATGATAGGTAAAATAATCAGCTTTATGTGGGGGCAATATGAGAAGTCAATTTTTTTTTGTGAAAGATCTGCATGTGACAAGTATTCGCAGGAGTATTATGTGAAAACCTAAACAACGTCTAAAAAACCGGCGAAATGTCATCTTGCGGACTCAGTGGTTTCTAAGATACGTAATATCACAGTGAAAAAATTCTAAGTGTTATCAGACTGGATTTAGGGTGAAAAGCGGACAATAAACTATTTTTCCGGGCTAGCTGTAAACAGTAGCAATGCATCGTCATCGAATTTGGAATCTAAGCACCCGACTTACCCAGAAAACAAACTTCCATCTTGATCATAGACGCGCAAGAGTTTTTAGAATTCTTTTATTAATTGTTTTTTGACAAAGTTGAATTCTTGCCAGTATCTTGAAGACGAGACATTTTCGGACGGAATGGACCATGGATTCGGTTTCAGCGACCCAAAAAGTGTATTATGAGAGATGTTGCGTTCACGTTCCCAAATGACCCATTTTGTGCCTTTTTGGTAGCATTATTCCACGTACTTTAAGTTGCCAATACCAAATCCGAGGTCGTTTTACATGTATGTTATCCCGTTTATCATGTAGATCTAATTATTTAGCGAAAAATTGCAAAACTATGCGTTTTTGCGACTTTAAGGTGCTAAAAATCCATTTTTACTATCGATGGCTACATGAGAGCGAAGCTTTGCAGAATGAGGTAACTTGGTGCGCTGAATATGAATATCACAGTGAAAAAATTCTAAAGTGTTATCAGACTGGTTTGAGGCTGAAAAGTAGACAAGAAACTATTTTTCCGGGCTAGCCGTAAACTCTAGCAATTTATCGACATCGAATTTGGAATCTACGCACCCGATTTACCCAGAAAACAAACTTCCATCTCGATCATAGACGCGCAAGAATTTTTAGAAATTTTTATTTTTCGTTTTTAGACAAAGTTGAATTCTTGCCAGAATCTTGACCTGACCTTTTTACAGTCAGAAAGTTAGGGAAAAACCTCATAGATCTAGATAGGTATCCTACATCCTACCAACTGCTTTAAGCTATGTTTACACCTTGCTGTTATCAGTTTCAAAGTTCGTTGAAATAATTCTTCATGCCGCCTACCCTTGTAAAAATTCGTTGCATCCATAAAATCGAAATAAACATAAAAACTAAGGACAGAACAACCACTCAACATCTGCAAACCACCCAGCGACCAGCCTTCTGATCGCAAGGAAAATCCGCAACCGACCTCGCGATAATTTTGAAACTAAAAACTTCATTTCTTCTCTTATCTTTGATTTGTACGGAAGAAGTTGCTTCGATTTTCCCTCAGTGGCTGTTAATAAGCGTTGCGTTGGTGAATTTGTGCCACGTTGTGTTCACATCAGTAAGCACTTTCAGTTACTTCAAAAAGGACTGCCATTCTGGCAAAGTTAACTAAGAATTCCATACATTACCTGGATTAATTTGATTTGTTTAAGTTGAGATTCTTGAGTTTAATTCTTGCTAATAAATTCAAACTTAAAATTATTGTAAATTAGTTGTCACCGTTCCCTTTAACTTAGTCGTAATTCACTCCCCCAGCCTATTAGTTTCAGAAAGTTAACTTTTTTTGTCATCGCTACTTCAGTTTTCACGAGTGCTTATACAGGGTGCGGAAGAGAGGACGGACGTTTTTGGGATGGGTAGTACTCTCCGCCTCCATCTACGAGAGAGGTGGGGAGGGTGCCGTTTGACTCGTGAGATCCTAGCATTATTTTACCAGTTGTCGTTATGGAGCCTTGGACGATGGGCACCGCGTTTTCGCCTATGATTGTTTCGTACGAAATAATGAGTCAGTCATCGTCGTACAGCGTGAGTTTCGTCGCCACTTCAACATTCATCAGAATAGAGCTGTTCCCAATCGAAACACCTTCCTTCGTTGGGTTGAATCACTTCGCAGGCGTGGTGAACTGATCAACAGAAGACCAAGAGGAGCGCCGCGAACAGTTCGAACTCCTGAAAATGTTGATCGCGTTCGACATGCTGCTGCACTTCGCCTTAGTGATCGTTCGGTAAGGAGAATTTTGCATATGGCTCTCCGCTTTCACCCCTACAAATTGGCTATTGTGCAACAGTTACAGCCCGGAGATTATGCACAACGAATGAACTTCGCACATGAGATGGAAGCACTGATCGATCAAAATGAAAACCTCATTTTGTTTATCAGTAGAGAGAGGCTAGAGTATACGCGAAGAAGCCCCGAACTCTGGACGAATTGAAGGGCGAAATTCGCGTAGAAGTCGCCCAAATTGAGAGAGCGATGTTGGAGAGAGTCTACGCGAACTTCCAAGAACGCCTCCAGTACTGCATCAACGATTTCGGCCACCACATGCCTGATGTGATTTTCCACACTTGACTGTCTCAAATGCTATTTCCTTGCGAACCTGATTCCATCAATAAATTTGTTTTTGAGTAAAAATTAACTGTTTTATGTTTTTTTTAAACCATCCATCCCCTCTGCCGCACCCTGAATATTTTAGAGTCTGGGTTTCTATTATCAATAAAAATTAGTCTCCTCTAACTTGCCTTTCATTAAATTCATTAACTGAACCAATCACGAAACCATTTACGCGACTGAGCTATAATAAAATATTTGAACTTCCGATTTATTAAAATGCGTCATATTTCTGCATGTCCATGGCAGTGATAACATTGAGAAATAATGAGGGAAATCCATCTATCACGATGGATATCTTACGCTTGGAAACAGAGTTCGTGTGCCTTCCTCAACCTCCGTGAAAAAGTACGATGTTTTGTGATGCTATGCGAGTCAGTATCCAAATCAGGCGCCACGCGGTGTGTAGGTTAACCTAGCGTATAAACAAGTCGCATTTGAAAAATCATAGATCGCTACATTCCTAGAATAATAACGTAGTTGTCAATGTTTCCAACAGAGCTGCATAAGCAAATGTAGGAAGAAGTACCTAAACAAACTCGTGTTTTTGAAAGGAAAAAGGACACCTCAAGCACCCTCTACAAATAAAACAGGTAGGGCGGAACGTCCTTACCAAATGAATAGTGAGTATTTTTCTCGAGTTTCTTTTTCGATGCTGTTTTACAGCACGTTAGACCTGTTATTTCGAACGTAGTGTTTCTGAGAAGGAACGTCCAAACTCTGTATACTGTCACTGTTACTTTTGACGTACGTTAAAGCATCCGAGATGGCCAAAACATTAGTAAGAATTCAATCCAATATCTGAGGTCTCACAAAGCTTTCAAGTTAGAGGTCAAAAATGGACGCCTCCGAATATTCTCTTACCTTGACGTATTCGCTGCGGTCGGCTGTTGCTGCACCGCGGAGGCGGGCAAAGGGGGCGGCTGCTGCTGTTGCGGCGCAGGCGCGGACTGCGTGCGCTCCAACCGCCTGTGCTGATGGTGGTGGTGGTGATGGTGATGCTGCGTCAGGTTGCCTAGCAACACCGCCAGCTGAGCCTGCTGATTGGCCGCCGCTGGGTGACCGGTGGGGGCGGACTGCATGCGGGACAGCGTCAGGTGGACGGCGGCGGCTGCGTGTTGGAGCGCGCTACCGCCACTGTTGCTGTTCGGGGGCGGCGAGACTGGTTCGGACATGCCGCCACTCTGGAATGAAAACAAAAGGATAAAGTTGTACAGAGAGAGCTGCTCGTGTATAGATATCAATATTTTTTCTGTTCTAAACATTCCTATATTAGAAATTACTGTTTTTGCCCTTTAGGCATCAGTTTACGCATACGCCTTGAGCAGCTATATTGCCACTTAGGTAGGTTTCGTAACATAGCGTTGTTACTCGAAACACATAATGACGGACAGAAAGACTGACGGAAAGGAGTGACATGGTTTTTCGTGATGTAATTATTCTCATATAACATCCAAAAAACATAATGTCTCTTTTTCAAAGTTTTCGCGATTAGAATACTTCCGAGCCAGTGGCGTAGGAAGTAATATTATGTTTACACTTTGCACGCCCAGAAGTGCATATCAAAAGTCCTCTCCGGTGAGAGGCGACACCAAATCAGTGGACTATCAACGGGTTGCTTATTTTCAGAGAAACGCTGTAGATACAGTTTACTTTCACGTGATTCATTTGAATAAACATCGGTTATTGTGAATTGAATATAATAATATAACTTTTTATACTATGAGCATGTAGTGCTCTATTTTTCGATGCATATGCAAAATAATGATTTTTAAAAGCAAATTTTTGATACGAGTACCTTGAGTTACAATTGCGTCATGTTTCAGCCTAGTTACACAAGACAATAATGAATTATACAATTAAACCTTTCGCATGAATCATGCTGTGCATTGCTGAAAACTGTATGAAAAACCATTCGGTAGTTTTTGAGTTTATCACGTAGATACCGAGGTTTAATGGGTAAAAATATACTAACGCTAAGAAACCGAGATGATTTTTTCATTTTCCAAGCAGAGCTCTGCGGCTAATGGATCGATTTTCATAACATACGAAACGTTTGCGTCCTTGGCATAGTAGTCACATTATGTAAAAATTTCGTCAAAATACTAGCGGTACTTTCCAAGTTACAGATCAGATGATGTACATGACATCCAAAAAACTCAATATCTCATTTTTGAAATTTTACAGGATACAATTTTTCTTGGCCACTTGGCTTGTAAACTACTTATCTCTACACTTATTTTGTACACGGAATGCAACAGATATGGGGAAAATTAGTGATGAAAAACTAGCTGCGGTTAGACACACTATACCTGCATTATGCGAACTTTTTCTAGTCGCTCTGATGATTTTATAATTTTTATCCTATAATTACTTTTTTGCGTGCTTTTCGTCACGCTGATTGTATACCGACCACAATTACAGCAAAAAATGGATAATATGTATACACATTTATACTATTTATATAACAATTACCATGCACGTACATGCGGATGCAATATTATACAATGTTTTATAGATTCAATTTTCCGTGACAATAGCATATAACGATACGGTTTTTTCAATGTTTGAAGAAATAATTTCTAAATCTATGAAACCAAATTTTTTAAACCGTATAGAATGTCCCCACAAACCATACAACTGTTAGAATATAACATATAATTGACCGAAACGTAATTAATTTGTTGGGAGGATATGTAGTTAAATGTGATCTTTAAATTTTTTTTTCGGTCACATTTTGTTCCGAAAGTATAGTCTATATATAGTCTGGTACCAAAACGGGAGAGAGTAGCAAAACACGGAGTACGTCACTGATAACACCGCACGTTTTTGAAGAAGGCATGATACGCGCGCGACGACTTTGACAATACAAAAGCACGCGACGCTATTAGTAGCGCACGATGAGTTATGATATTCTCTTCCGTTTTAGTACCTGACACAAGCCAGTGATTCAAACCCTGCTAGGTGCAGGTTGCAGTACATTGGGCAAGTATCAGTGGACGTTCCTCCATTTCTCCGTAAGTGCCGTTTTTTACATAATATGCATTCGGATTTCTTCTCTTATTTAACAATCTGTACTGAGCATTCGTTAACGTATTATGTTCTCACATTTCTTCGAAACATATTTTCAGTTTTTAGATCGCAATTCCAGAGGCTGAAGCGAATAAACACTCGCTAGCTATTACAACAACCCGCTAATTGCAATTGCATTACGCTAAAATATTCTTAAGCTACTCCTGAAAGAATTTTGAGCATACTAATTTGTGGAAGGATCTATGTAAGACATGAGCAATTTTTGGTTTACTTTTCCTAAAATTAACAATTATCTGTCCAGATAACATACCCTGCATTGTAGGGTATTGATTTTCACAGTATTTTCTCTTTTTCAGAAAGGATTCTACTCTTTCATGTCAGCGTCGTTGCTCTCCTATTATGAGGCTACGTTTTGTTTTTGAGGCTGACATAATACCAAAAATCATGAACAATTTGATGCAAATACGAGTAGATATTTGTAACATAACCTCACAACAGAGCGCTGATACGGAACAGTAGAAAACTATGAAAGTTAAGGAGGCCACAAAGGCGTCCTATGATTGTAGCAACGACTGACAATACGACCCTTGGAGCATGGTTTGAATGTTCTTTAATTTGTTCTTCTATTTTTGTTGGTTTGCAAAGAGAACAGATAAAAAAACATCGCCATTAAAACACTCATCCAGTGAAGCACTCACTATGTCGGTCTACTGAATAACAGAAATCACTTAAGTGCATATCGTAATTCTATCACCATTACAAATAAAACTAACTCACTACCTAATGACTACTGGGAATGCTAGAAACGTGAAAGGTCACACGATTTCCATACCAGACTTGACACTTGACCTTGAAAGTGCCAGCAGAATTTAAAATGGATATCGAGTGAAAATTGTTGGCAGGCTGAAAGCGAAACTAATCGACGACCAATCCAAAAGGAAATCTAATGAGCATATTACACCGGTAGCTATTAAGAAGATTTCTGTAGCGTTTTGATCCACTTACTATTAACTTACATGCATACAAGCACCTTTTTTTCAGAAGGGCTAACTTGTGTCATCATGACCTGATGACAGCATTGCGTGAAAATTACTGAGTCTACATACTTGACGCTATTTTTCTGAATACTACTAGTAAATTTTGTTTACAATAAAAAATGTAGCTTCTATTTAATATGTCACTTATGGTTGGCCGATTCTATTTATCCCATTATTGACAGCAGATTCATGCTAATTGACAAATGGAGTATTTGAAAATGTCGACGTACGTAGTATCTTCTATCTCTACACTACCATGTAGCCCAGAGTTCCTCTTCAAGGCAACGATCTTTGATGCAGTCTAATTAAATTAACTGTGCTAATATATCAGAGTTAGTTGTAAACAAATAAATGTATACATAACTCGATGGCGCCTCAGGATATAAAAGTGCTCGGTCAGTGATAACACCAAAGTATGTATGTACTATTTTAGTTGTTAAATCCTAAAATAAATGAAAATTGCATTCATAGAGAAATAGGAAACCGTTGCATGATATTCTAAAAACACTTAAATTTTTTGCTTATGATAATACGGATACCAAAACACGGAAGCAACAAATTATACAGGGTGTCCGCAAAGTTGGGGTTTTCCTTTACACGACGTGTAGATCTTGAAAACATAAGCAATTTTTCTTAGTACCATATACACCAATGTCTTAAGGGAACCGAGATAAAGGGCTCTGCAACATCAAAAATATCTGAATACCGTCCTGTAGCCGCGACATCCCCGAGTGGTACTGGGACACTAGCTCAACCCGACGACAGAACTGGGTCGGAGTCAGTGTGTCAGGTCAGTATGCAACCTTCAACCGACGGTTACGGTCACGCGTGTAGAGGTAATCGCGAGGACGAGAATCCCTTAATAAGCACTAGAGACGTGGCTAGAGAAGTGCAAGTATCAAAAACTAAAGTGTGGCAAACGCTGCGTGAACAGGGGCTGTATCCGTTTCACGTCCAACGTGTACAAGCCCTTCAACCTGACGATTTTCTAGCAAGAGTGCGGTTTTGTGAGTGGTTGTTGCATCAACATGACAATAATCCGGATTTTTTGAACTGCATATTGGTGACAGACGAATCTACGTTCACGCGTAATGGGGTGAATAACTTTCGCAACACTCATGTTTGGTCAGCAGAAAATCCGCACGTTGTCCGTCGGGCACATTTTCAACAAACATTTTCGGTGAATGTTTGGGCTGGCATGGTGAACGGTATGCTCATTGGACCATTTATTCTCCCAAATCGATTGGACGGGATGCAATACCTATACTTTTTACGCAACATTTTGCCTTCCTTGTTAGAAGATGTGGCATTAAGTGTAAGACAATCAATGTGGTTTGTGCGTCTGCTCGCTAGCGCATCAGCTGATTTCATTTTCTGTTGGAGCGGTATGATTTCGGGCAGAGACGTACTTAGCCCTTCTCGTCAACTGGAGAGTGAGTACTTTTTCCTTTATTGTTTTTACTTGGTCGCCCTCGTTTCACTACACATTACCTTTGTTATTTCAAGGGTAGTTGTTTCTGAAAAGGAAAACCCCAACTTTGCGGACACCCTGTATATCTGTTGCGAATTATTATAGACAACTCGCACTAACATTTTAAAAAAATATTTTTAGGCCTCCTTCAGTCGCTTGTATTTATGTAGCGGATACTCGTAAGGTATTTTTTTCAAAGACTACACTTGTTTGTATTCTACATGGACAGAGATATTGTTCACCTGTTTTATTATCGTTATAATTTTCGCACATTCGCATATCGCTTGGGCTATTATCCCAAATCAATATTGCAAACACTTGCCGGTTTATGTTACCATATACAACAAACACGTTTGCCGTGTCTAATCAATACAAATAAGCTGCGTTACTATAAAAAATATGTTGCTTATTTTGCAAACCGCATTTCAAGTTTATTCACCTGGAAGTGAAACACGTAGAAATGTTAAACGGGAGGTACCAAGTGTGTTTTTCAGACACTTCCTTATAAAACAAATAACAATGCGTAAAGTTAAACGTAAACATTGGGTTTTGTTAGTCTGCCATTGCATATTTTGCATGTAATTTGTGAAGTAATAATATATGGGTTATTGTTGTTTCGGTGTCTGTTTTCTATCTATTGTGA